TGAGTTAATTCAGGGGCCACGGTATCGCGCTTCAACCCAACTCCTCCCGCGCTCCTCGCTCTCCCCGCTGCTTTTCGAGTCTCCTTCCTCCCCCCCTCCTCTCTCTCTCTCTCTCTCTCTCCCTCCCTCCACCCCCTCTCCCCGCGCCGCCGCTGCTCTGTGGAGATCTCGTTCACACATTGGCTGAGCCACTGATTCAATAACATTCCATTCCACCCTTGGGGGGTGTGTGGGAGGAAAGCAGCAGAGAAAGGCGGGGGGAAATGCCTGGGGGAGGCGGGGGGAGCACCGAGAACGAGGGAGAAGAGAGGAGGGGCAAGTCAGGGCGATACGTGCACCACGCACGGCGCACGACAACAACGCACGCATCCTGCAGGGCGGAAGTGGCCTGTCCCTCCGTGCGCCGCGCCGCGCCCAGAATCAAGGATATTGGTCAACAACAACTGGTTCGTTTGCCGAGAGGGATGTGTGGCGTTACACACGGATTGCAGGCATTGTATGTGCCCCTCGTGCTCCTCCGCCCCGCCCACTCCTTCTTGTCCTGCTCCGCCACCTTTGGCCTTCCGGGCCTTCCCCCCTTTTCGCAGACGGCCGGCCGCAAGATGGGCCCCCAAGTCGGCCCGAACCTTTTCTGGCATCCGTGGGTTCTACGACTGTTCACATAATTTTTTTGACACAATGTCCTTTTGCCTAATATAACTTTTGACATAACCCCTTTAACCGCCTTTAACACAATTTTTAAAACTTAAATACTGTTTCACATAAGTTTCCTTTTTACATATAGTACTGTTTTGCATACATTTCTTTTTACATTTTCCCCTGTGTGTGAACTCATTTATTCTGGCAGTCCCCATCGAATTTTTCCTGTCTTCGGCCCGCTCTTCTGCTTTGAAAAAGCTCTCGAGTGGGCTTATACAATAGACCTGGTGTCTGAATGTCGAACTTGGTATTTTGAGCGTGTCTTATGGGTCACACGTGGGCACGGAAACGCCTTGTGTGCAAATCCTGGCCAACTATTCTAAGTGGGTGAAATGAGCTATGTACCGGGTGTAACTGTGAATGCGCAGCAGTGTTGCGGGTTTGCAAACCCAATTCGCCCGTAAGGCACCATGGCCCCTGCAGCTCTGGCAGGTATAATCCCGCAACAACTTCATTTATCTTAAATCTAAATTATGTGTTAAAAACGTATGCAAAACGACGCTTCAGACGAAACTGAAATTGTGTCAAAGTGCCCTCTAGACAAAACGGAGATTATGTGAAAAAAATTATGTGAACTGGTTGTGTGAAATGATATTAAGTAGAAAACTATTGTGTGAAAAAAATTATGTACCGTCGTGTTACCCGTCCGTGTCCTGCTGTGGGTCTCGAAACGCGAGTCACAGTCGGCACTCGCGTGCCCGCCCCAGCTCGGCCTGGCCAGGGGCATCGGAAGTCCTCCATGGCGGGGGAGGGGGGGGCGAATCATTCCCCCCACCCCCTGCTCTTACTGATTCGCGAGCGAAGCGAGCGAGAATTTTTTTCAAGAACAAACAGAAGTTTGATTTCATTTTTTAAAAGAAGCGCAAAAACTAAAGCTATTTGTTTATCGCATCGGTGAGAATGGCAAGAAGGGTATATTGAACGTTAAATTTTGTTACTCATGACTTCTAGCTGTCTGTTTTCTTGAGGAAAATTCAACCCAGGCCATTTCACGCATTTTTATAATTTTACCCTTACTCTGCGCCATACACCCATGCAGACTTTCAAAGACTTCTTCTTCTTATGACGTTTCCATGACTCCTTAAGATTTTAAAACTTAAATCGTGGTCCGCATGCACCGATGGCGATCGATGGCATGTGCGTTAGTGTTCTTCATCTCGTTTTACTACTTCACAGCTGGTGCTTAACCCAAAAAGACGCGGGGTGGGGGGGGGGGGGCTGAGCCCTCCAAACCACACTGCTTCTGACGCCACTGGGCATGGCTGAATACGGAAGTACACTTTTTATTCCTGCGCTTTAGTCTATTTTATTTCCTCTTTCAATGTGCGGGCTCCATGTGAGCCCACCTAAACCAACAAATCGACTTTGACGCTGCAGTTCTCCACTCAACGTTTTCCATTTATGTTCTAGGTGACGGCAACCTAAACCCTCAAGCATGTTCTCTCTACTGCACGCATGTTTTCACACGGAGCCTACCCAATGAGAAATGCGGATATCGAATTGATATCAGAACGATTTCGGACATCAGAAAAGTGTCGATTTCGGGCCTATTTTCATATCAGTTCTGAGTCAGAAGCTTGAAAACGATATCGTTCTGATATCAATTCGATATCGCTTAAAATTCATTTCGCACTGGGTAGCGAGTGGTCGAGGCCGAGGTCTAGGCCTAAAGGCACCTCACTTTCACTTCCAGGTTGAAATGATTGGTCGAGGACGGGTTCGTTCATGTCTCTGTTTAAAGTTCTATTGAGGTAGAAACAGAAAATGTAAATAGAATTATCGGAAATTTCAAATTTTATGCCCTCTTTAGACGGGCACGTCAAACGAGGCGGTATTGCTGGAAAGGAATTTCAGTGATAGTATAAAGTAGAACAAGCTGATGACAGCATTTATTGTCTCCTTATTACACGCAGAGAAGTGGAGAGCTCTATAGAGTTGGTGGAGTTGGTATACCAACCATTAAACAGTTACCTCAGGAACAACCGCGCTTTTTCTTAGTTGCACTGTTAGAAAAAACCACGGAAAAAACACAGAAAAACTATGGTCAATTTTTTGCCCAGAACGTCCGTCTAAATCTGTGCTGAAACCACAGAGACGGTGCGGAATCAAAGGTACAGAACACCACGGAGCTTCTGTTACAGAACGTCTGTGCTATTCCGTACACCTGCCACAGAATTATTACAGATATTTTCTGTGACTTTTAGCCATTCTTTTCTAGATACAGTTTTGTTGAATTAGAAGGATCGTCGTCTGCGTTCTGCGTAGGATACTTTGGTACCCGAAGTGAGTCAAAAATTCAATTTCATTGACGCTTTGGCACAGGACTGCAGCGCGCGGGAAACTATTTCCCAATTACAACGTATCAGGGAGGGACACTACATGGTGACCAGGACGGAAGTGATCAGCGAGAGCTAATGTAGAATGCCATCTAGCGGCGTCTTCGGACGCCTTACCACTGAGACACAATATCTGTTACAGATGGGTCCGCAGCCCTTGAATGACAGACTATTTATATGACGGAAGCAATCTGTACGATTCTGTTCTGTTTTTTCTGTGATTTTGAAGCACAGACTTCTGTGTTCACAAAATAACTGAAAATTTCTGTAACAGAAGCAATCTGTACACCTCTGTTGGGAATTTTTCTGTGGTTGTCTGTGGTTTTTCCACAGATTTTTTAACAGTGTGGACTGTACCTCATGCACGGGTGCACGCGGGTTTGCCTATCCTCGCTTCACACGCTCCCTTATGACACCATGCGAATAGGCAACCCGTCCGCCCGCGGACATGCGGTACAGTATGACTTCGAAAGTGCCACCTGCTCAGACGTTGTACGTGGTGATTCGGAGAAGACACAGGAGCGGGCGGGCGGGTAGGCAGCGCACGCCTGCATGCGGTAGAGTATAACCTGTAAAAAGTCTGGCTGAGAACACCCAACCCGTGTAGTTAATTCACAACCATACAGTTAACCAGCGGTTAAGTTTTTACGGCCACTGTACAGAAATCTGGTGGTTACTACGAAGCTTTCCATTCTGGGTGTGTCGCTGTCATGTGGGGCGTGCACAATACTTTAGTTTCCAGTTTCCAAATCGATTCGCCAATTTCCCATCCCATCCACTCCACAACTCCAAAGAACATATTGCATAAATAAGATTGTAATGTTATTTCCCTGCCAACAAAAGTCATTGGTGGCCGCAGTGCAGGCCGTCGAGCCCGTCGCTGCTCATGCAGCCCGTGCCGGGCCCCCGAGGCCATCCTGGCTGCTTTGTGGTTCGCTTAGGCCCCTTTCGGCGCTGACGCCCGGCAGCGGCCCGCCGCCGCCGGCACCATGGCAACCGACGCGGGCGCCGCCGCGCCGCTGCGACCAATGAGCTGCCGGCGTCGGCGTCGGCCCCGCCCCCCGGCTGCCGACTGGCGCGCGGCCGGGGGTGGCCGGGGTGGGGGTGCGCGGTGCGTCGCGGTGGAGGGGGTGGCGGGTGGCGGGTGGCGCCGCGCCCCGCGCAGCCGGCCCGGCGCGTGTTTATCACTCGTGCTGCCCGCGGCGTGCGCAGAGGGTCACGCCGCGCCCCGCCGCGCCCCGCACCGCCACGCCGCGCCCGCCGCCGGGGTCGCCGCCGAGGCCGCCGTCATGTGAGATGATGGACCGACCGGCCCCCGGCAGTACTCGCCTGGCGCCCGCCGCCGCGCCAGCCCAGCCCGCCAGCCACCGCATCGACGACATCCTGGGCAAGAGCAAGCAGGACGAGCCGGCGGCCGCCGCCTTCGCGCCGTGCGTCAAGCCGCAGCCCCAGATGCCGCCGCTGCCGCCGTTGCCCGCCGCGCCGCACGCGCTGCACCCGCACCACGCGCTGCACCCGCACCTGGTGAGCACGCCCAGTCCATGGCCGGAGAACATTTTCAACTCATTCGAACACATTTGCAACTGCGGTGGCAAAAATTTTCTGTGGCATCAGAGGAACCGTAAATTTTCATGCTTATAGTGACAGTGCCTTATAGTCAAGTCGTTTTGGTGGACTAGAAGTCTAGAAGTATGTGGCTGTTCTAAATAAAGTATTCCGGTAAAGCGAAATGCAGAAGATTGCTGGGAATAAGAAAATGGAAGTCATCATGTTCAAGCATGATGATTTCCGTTTTGTTGTTCTTCTGTTCAGCTTTATTTATGGACACAATCGTAACTCAAATACGATATGATGATTTGTTTTTACAGTGCTAGATTACTCAGTGTGTACCTCGTTGTTCAGAGATATCTCTGTTTTCATACAGGGTTGGGTGATCCGAGCCGTCTCTTTTCTGCTTAGACTGAACCGGATTCTTGCTTGCAAACGGGGTGCATACTCGCACGGGGCCGTAGGGCTCCATGGCTAGCGACGGTATGCACTCCCGCACCCCGCACAATCTGTTTCCTCGCTTCTTTGTGCTCTCACGCCTTTCATACTGCCGCCAAGTTCCCCATACGCCCCAGGGACCACGCAGTCGGATAAGAGGACAATCGGCATAGTTATCGCATTTCGATCCACTGAGCTCGAAATACTCGGAAGGAGATTCCTACACCCGGGTCGCGAGAAAAGGGTGGGGCGGTGCGCTGTGGGCGGGGCCGCGGGGAGTGCGGTGAGGTGGCCATCTTAGGTGGCGCACCTCCACCTCTCCTCGCCCCGCCCCGCCCCGCCCTGCCCTCGGCGACCGGGCCCTGCTCCCTGACGCTTGACTTGACTGAAGCAGAGCTTGAAACTTGCCAAGCACCCCATTTCGCGGTTAGTTTATGGACTCTGGGCCCCTGGCCTGCTCGCCCTGGCCGCACCCTCCTCGTCAAAGCAAAGTGCCAAAGCAGGGGCAAACATTGTCCGTCAGCAAGTTTCCCTCGCCGATACTGGCCGATACAGAGAGGGAGGCAAAGGCTACTGAAAGCGACAAAACGCGAGCATAAAGTGCGTCGCCAGTTCACTTCTTTTTAACTCTGAGCGAATATAAAGTGCTCTCTCAAATTTTTGCTTCTTTATAAAATTCATCAATCGTACCCAGTTAATCCACATTTAGTGCGTGCTTGGTTCATAATTTAATTCATAAAAACAGTATTTTCACAATTGTGGCCGTAAATGCTAATGCTGCAGACGCACTTTTACAACTGAACTCTGAAATAAAAGTGCATGCATCCCAGACCAGGGGCATGGTTAACCCCGTACACGTCTGTAGTTTTCATACTGTATCGCATTCCACATCTGGGCTGGTTGCCTACTCGCTCGGCCCGTGAGGTGCAGATCGCCCCCCCCCCCTGTCGTCTCTAGAGACCCCGCCTGAAAGGTAGACAATTTACGCCACAAAACCCCTGTATGTAGGCAACCGACAGTGCATCGCCACCCCTGTCAGCCGGACCATAATCCTACCCTGGTCAGGGACGATAGGCAAACCCACGCTCACGCCAGCGTACGATACTAGTATGACTTACAAAAGGACACGGTGGTTTTTAGACTCGGCTGTGAATGGCCGAAAGCCAAAGCTGAAGCGTATCACCGAGGCGCAACTCGTCTCGCGAAATGACATCCACCAAAAGAGAAGAGAATCTTTCACTTACATTTTGTCCTAATTATTATGTGCTGTGTTGCTCCGCAGTTGTCACCCGCCTCCAGGGCCTTCCTGCCACCGATCTTCCAGCGCTCCGTCCTCCTCCAGCCCTCGTACCAGCACATCCTGCACCTGCCGTGGGCTCAAAGTGAGTAGGCCTCCGGCCATTCCTCGCCCCGCCCCGCAGCGACCCAAACGCGCGGCGCGGAGTGCGAGGGCATAGCCGACCGACAAGTCAAAACGGTCATTTCCGTGGTCCATATTCTTCTCGATGCCACTTCTATGTCATTTGTAAGTAGCCCCCGTGTCCTTAGCTGAGCTGGTGGCGGGCTACCCGGGGTCGCTGGACGCCGGCAAGGTGGCCGGACGACGGCGCAAGGCGCGCACCGTGTTCTCGGACCAGCAGCTGCACGGGCTGGAGAAGCGCTTTGGCAAGCAGCGCTACCTGTCTACGCCCGAGCGGGTCGAGCTCGCCACCGCCCTCAACCTGTCCGAGACGCAGGTGAGTCACTGCAGACATTCGCATTATTTTATTTCTTCTTTTTATGGGGAGATGGGGGGGGGGGGATTTGCAAGTTACTTAGGATTTTAAACGTATGCAAGAAGTATATATATGTAATTTGAGTGACGTCAAATTTACAATGAAACGGTTTTTTTTTCGCTCTCCTCAGGTGAAAACGTGGTTCCAGAACCGCCGCATGAAGCACAAGAAGCAGCAGAGGAAGATGGCGGACGACAAGCAGACCAATGGCGGGAAACGGACCAGTGCAGGTGGGTCCCGTGCCATCCCGCACCTGTCACCTGGCCGCTGCCCCCCGCATCGCTCCGCCCCCTCCAACCGCGTCCCTCCCGTCACCACCCGAGACGACAGCGGCGGGTTGGTCTCACTGGGGGGTGCCGTCCTTCTTACCCCTCTCAAACACTTCCTCGCTGAATAGCGAGCTAAACTCATTTCAACTCATTTGCGCACAATGCCAAAGTGAGGGGGGGGGGCGGAGGGGGGCAGGCAAGGGAGAGAGAGAGCGAGAGAGCACGATAGGAGAGACGAGAAGTGAGGAGGGCGAGATTATTCGCAAACTGGTGCCTAGTCTCCAGCCTGGCGACGCAGGGCGTTACTCCTCAACTAACTGCTTTGATGAGGTTGAATCTCCCCCCCCCCCCCAAGCCCCTATCCTCCCCTCACCCAGTCCTTGGCACCGTTGGTGGGCGCCATATTTGAGCTCCGTAACTCCCCACCCACCCCTAGCTCTCTGCGGGCAAAGAAAGGGAATTAAAGTCGCCCCAACACTTTGCGGAGACGAGCGTTATGGTCACGGTCCAGCCGGCGCCCGAGTCGCTCACTGCGCCTCAGTCAGTCAGCCTCGGGGTATTGATTTTGGTGGCTGCAAAGGGGCCTCGAGGGGCTAGAGACGGCTGTTGCGGGCCGTGGCGGGGCGTGGCGGGGCGTGGC